GGAGTTGATTAAACCGTGTGTGTGTATTGGAATCAATTTTCTGAAGACCCCAGATATCTTCGTAATCCAAATCTTCAATAATTAGGTTTGACATGCTTTCGTGCAGTTTGCTATTTAAAATCAGCCAACTCCGTATATAAATAACGGAGATATAAACAAAAAAGCGAGACTATCTCTGAAAATTTAATCAAAAAAAGAGAATTTTACAGCATACTTATTGAAAAGGCGAATGTGAGGATGTATGTCGGTTTTTTTGTGTGTTTTGTTTCGGGTATATAAGATTCGCCAAAGGCGAATATTAAACTCTTAATTGTTTTATATTCATATTTTCTATAGAAAGATTAACGATTTATCTAAAAATACGCCTGGAATAGGATTTTTAATATATTTCAATGCCTTATGAACTGAATTTGAGAATTAGAAGAAATAAAAGTGTGCCACTGATTTGTTGTAAAATTTACGTTTAACCTTCTAATTGACTTCTAGGTCTGCTTTTTTAAATTTGTAATAAACTTGGATTGACCTTTAATAACACGGATATCAGACATTATCAATATTGACCCTTATATATCGAAAAACCTCTTGCAATAACACATGCCAAAAATTTTTTAACCTAGAGTATAATTTTCTAAAAGATAATAGTTTCAAAAAACACGAACAATTGTTTAATTCACAATAGATGTGGTATCGTTGTATGCCGTAATTTCTGATTATTGTTTTTGATTCGCATTAAAACTATATATAGCATAAAATTACTATTCATGTACATATACCGCAATGACATAGATTGTGAATAGGACAGTTATGTATATTACCGAAGTTGATTCCTTATTTTGAAGCCAATAGAAGAAGACTTTTTTACGACGTAGCAATATTTAGGAGAAAGTTTATAAAAATTCCCGTAAATACATATTTGGCAGATTTATTTAAAAATTTGTCCTAGGTGATATTTCAAGTGATTCGTGCAGATGTTTTTAACGCAAAAATATCGGTCCTTCACCCATCTTAAAATATGCTAATCTGCTTAGAATCATTTTCTTATTTCATTAGGTAAGACAAGTCCGTCCGTCTTTCCGTCAAGCTGGCTGTTCATGTAAACTTTGTGCGAATTTTCAAACTAATTTGATGAAATGAGTCACGTACGCTCAAGGATAAAGCCTATTGAGAATGATTGAAACAGTTATCGACATTAAGGTAATCTCAAAACGATTCCCCTGAAAATATTATTAGGGTACATGATCAGCTTAGTAATTCTAGTAGTCTACATTACGTAGGACCATGTCGTGGATCATATTCTTTGAAAATGTTAGCAAAGGAGTAGTATTGGTATTTTTGTGATGTAACGAGTCATGTAAACTCAAGTATAAAGCCTATTGAGAATGATTGAAACAGTAATCGGCATTAAGGTAATCCCAAAATGATTTCCCTGAAAACATTATTAGAGTACATGATCAGCTTCGTAATTCTAGTAGTCTACATTACGTAGGACCATGTTGAGGATCATGTTCTTTGAAAATGTTAGCAAAGGAGTAGTATTGGCATTAGTGCGATATAACGCATGTGCGGCAACTAGTTTTGGACCAGTCCTAGTCTTTTGCGGTGTAGTCTTAATTTTTGGAGGGCTTTATTGCCCTTCTTCATTAACTCTTACAACTGACTTCCAAAAATGTATTTCAGAAAAGTAAATCAAGTTCATTGATGTTCGATTTTCAATGAAAAGTTATATACGTACCAAATCGAATAAGATTTTTTATTTTATATTGGAACAAAATCATGGATAAATTATTAATTAGGAATTAATTAATCATTAATGAATGGTATGGACGGCAATGTGTCACATAAATTTGTCTTTAGTCAATTAAACAATAAAATCAACGGAATAAATCAAATCATTTTCAAAAAAAGCCAGTGTTTTAAAATGATTTAGAAAAAATTAGCTGATGGAAAGAATAAAAAACTAACTGATATCGGCATAATCCCCGAATTTAGTATATCGGTTGAAAATTTTATTTAAAAAAACTTTTGGAGTGATTTTCGTAAAAATTTTCCTTTAAAATACTATATTCTGAGATAGAAAAGAGATTTTTGAAATAAAAAGAACTGAGTGTATTTTTGTTTTATTTTTTTAAATAATACTGTTGCCATATTTATTTTTTAAATTTCATTTCATTTTTGCAGTAGATTACTGTTTTTTTCTCTATTTAACTTATAAATTAAAAACAATTAGGAGCTTAAAAATTTAATGATATTTAATAATAATTTATAATAAACAAGGAGTTGTATAAAGAATGATAGAGTCAGAGAGTTAGTAGTAAAAAAAATGAGCTGTTAAATTAAAAAATAACTAACTAAATGTTTATATTTATATATGCTATAATTAAAATCCTGTAAAATTATAATTATTTTTTTAAGTTTATAGACTAATTATTATTTTTATTTTAATTTTTAAAAGTTATTGTTTTTTAATATAGCTTAATTTTAAGCTAAATTATATATAAAAAAAAATGACAATAATTATTTACAATAAGTTTTAGTTTTTGAAAATTCTTAATTTGTTTATTTTTTTAATGTTTATTTTTAAGTTGTGGGGCAAGGTTTGTTGGTCTGTTTGGATTTTTTTTTAAATTTTTAATTATATTTTATATAGATTTTTTTTTTATGTTTGTAATATTATATATTTTAGTTTATATAAAAAATGATAAATTTACAAGTTTTGTGTTTTTTTTCTTTTCCTATATACGTATAGTTGTTGTGTGTTTTATTTTTATATTTTTAAATATGTTTTTAGAAGGAATAGATTTTATATTTTCTTTTTATTCTGTTTGGTTTTCTGTTGTAAATGTTTATCTAGTTTAAGACATTTAGCTTATCTGAGGATAAGTGTACTTTATTTATTGTTTTTTTATTTTATATTTAATAATTACATTTATATAAGCATCTACTTATAATTTGTTTTTTCTTTTTTGTGTTTTTATCTTAAGTTTTTTTGTTTATTTTTTAAATTGTGTTTTTTAAAAACTACGCCAGTCTCAAAAAGCTCGAGTACCACAAATAAAAGAACGTTCTGCTTTCAAACGTTTTATTATAATCAGATTTTTCTTGTTTTTGTTCTTCTTAATTTGGGTATTTTTTACCTTAAATGTTTTTTAATTGTAATAGCAGTGATTATTAATATTTTTATAAATTTAAAAAGCGAGTTACAAATTTATTTAAAATAAAATGTTTTTCTGCGAAACGATAAAATGATAAGAATGTCTATTTAGTTTGGCCAATCTGTCCGTTTGATATCAATGTATTATTGTTTACAGCCTAAAAGGCAGCAATATATTTTTTGTTAGTTTTTATATGATAGTCATAAGTATGCAACATTTTGAATTACTAGTTGGCTGCCTAAAAGAGAGCAATATAAGTTTTCGAAAATTAGCATTTTTTACAATCAGAAAGAACTCGAATTTGTGCCATTTTTGCTAGTTAATATTTATTTAAAATTAGTCATAAGTATGCATGTCTATTTAGTTTAGACAATCTGTCCGTTTTTTATTTAAAATCAGGGTTTCCAACGGCCCATATGATATCAATACAGCCTAAAAGGCAGCAATATATTTTTTTTTGTTATTTCTTATATGATAGTCATAAGTATGCAACCTTTTAAATTACTAGTTGGCCGCCTAAAAGAGAGCAATATAAGTTTTCGCCATTTATCATTTTTTACAATTAGAAAAGAACTCAAATTTGTGCCATTTTTGCCAGTTAATATTTATTTAGAATTAAATGTGTTTTCTGCTAAACATGAGAATGATATGGAAGTCTATTTAGTTTATCTGAAATGGGGTATCCAATAGCCTCATATAGTTCTTTAATAACTGTATGATGTCAGTATATTAGTGTTTACGGCCTATGTTATTTCTTATATAACAATTTGAAAGTCTTAAGTATGCAACATTTTAAATTAATAGTTGGCCACCTAAAAGAAAGCAGTAAATTTTCAGAAATTAGCATTTTTTCCAAAAATAGAATATGTTTTGAAAAGGCTGAAAAAGTTGTAAAAACTAATCTCAAAATAGCAAAAATAAAAACTGATTCACAACAAAAAAATATCCCACTTCATACAGAAATAGTTTTTATAAAATTAGAAAGCTACAATCTTTTCCTTTTCTTTCTAAAATGCAAATTTAATTTTAATTAAAAATCGTTTTCAAAATCAACTACTCAGAATATCCTCATAAACTCAGTATAAAAAAAATAAAAACATTTGTATTTTTTTGATTTTGGAAAAAAAGTCTTTTCTTTTAATGTTATAACAAAAATGTTCGTTTTTTAAATACATATACAATATACTACATACAAAATAGGAAAGAAAAAATAAAATTACAAAAATAATCTAGATACTAATAATCACTGCTATTACTTAATAATAATTTATTTTTCTTAAATCTTCTTTGTTTTACTTGAAAGAAGAAAAAGAAAAGTAAATCGAAACTTAAATATTTAATGGGTTTTACTTTGCTCTCATCTGTCTTAAACTTTATATCAAGAGTTTTATACTTATATATAATATTTAGTTTATTTTGTTTTTTTAATTTATTATTATTATTACTAATAACTAAATTACTTAATCACTAAATTCTTGTTTTGTTTAAAGGGTAAATAAATATTTTTTTTTATATATATTATATTTATAATTTATATTTATATATTACTATATAATTTTAATATTACATAATTATTTATTCACTACTATACACAGATAGAAATTAAAACTTAATTTAAATAAAAACCATAAATATTTATAAATTTTTAAGGTTATTTCTGTCATCTTTTTTTCATCAGTATCATTATCGTCTTCCTTATGTATTAAAGAGCTTCCCCTTGGTTTCTTTTTTTGTTTAGATTATAGAGTATAATTAGGAAATTATAAATTAATCATTGTGTTGGTTTTTTGTTTTGCTTCATTTCATTTTGAAAACTTAACTAATTTTAAAGGATTTTTCTTTTTTTTTTATTATTATATTTATAACAAAATTAATTTTTGTGATTTTTTTTCGGTTTTTTGTTTATAGTTTTATAATATAAATTTTTAAAATTTAAGCTAACATTTATGGTGTTGCGAGCATTCATTTGAATTTGAAGTTGCCACAACACCTTTACTAGTGTTTTTCTGTTGTTTTTCCTTGTCTGCCTCACTTGTTGATTGTGATTGTTGTTGAACATTTTCCACTTTATCATTATTATCATCTGTTGATGTCTGTTTTAATTGTTTCATTTCTGTTTTAATAATTGTTATATCTTCATCATCTTTAAGTATACTTCTTCTTCTGCGTTTGCGTGCATTGGGTACACCGGCTGCTCCTCCGGTCGCTCCTTTTCTTTTAACGAATTTTATATTATATGGATCTTCGGCTAGTTCTGGATACAGGGTGACATCGTGTATGTATTCTCCTTCATAGTTATTGGCATAGTTTTGTTTAAGGATTTCGTCAATCTCTTGCTGATTCCATTCAATTTCTGTATTTAGTCCAGTTTTCAAGGCTTCCTTCTCTCTATGCCAGGCTTTACGTACTGCTGTCAGTTTAGCATGATGCATAAGTCTTTGCTTCTCTTTCTCCACTGTAGTACCATAGCGTAAATTGATAATGGCATGTAGACCATGGATTTTCACATCTAGATAGTTAGTGCCACTGCCATTTTCTCTTGTGATTTCATGGAAAGTGGTATTGACTTGTCCTTGCAAACGTTTCAGCTGCTGGCGATCTTCACTGGCTCGCCACAGTTCTTCCTTAACAAAGAAGAAGGAATCTTGTTGGGCATTATGAACCACAAAGGTAAATGGTAGCAATTTGGATCTATTAAAGACGGAGGTATAAACATCTCTATAGATGGCATTTGCTGCTGGCACACTAGATACTATGGCTTGACCATCTGCGGTTCTGGACACCACAATGCCTTTACCGAAAGGAGGCTCTGTATCGGAACCTATATTTCTGGGTCCTGGCGTCATAACATCATATTTCAAAGCTGATTTGGGCGGTGAATTCAAGTCCTCAAAGTTGGACATACGGCGTATATTCAAATGAGCTAAGAAACCACTTTCTACTGCCATGGTGGGTACATTATACATGGGTTTCTTAAGGTCCAACGCTATAGGATTATAGGGCGCTCTACCCCATAATGAAGGTTGCTCCCATAGATTGCGACTTAGCTGAGGCACCAAATTTTCCACATTGAAACCTATGGTCTTCATCCAATCCTTAAACTTGGCGGGATAATTGCGATCGTGACCCACATTGATAGGATCATTGCCATTAAATCTATACAAATGCATTTTGGTGGGAGTGGTTATACGTTCCTTAACATTTTCCCAATTAGGCGCCATCCATTGGCCTATTAGAGGATCATAAACACGACCATCAGCCATATGCACCAAGGTGGTCACTTGATCCAGTATGCCGCCACAAAAATCTATAGGCAGATACAAATAGGGATTGGAATCGTAGACTATATGGCCAAATGGTGAACGCATTATTTCTCTGATACCTTCACCATATTGATTGAAGATCATGATGGGAGTACCACTCTGATCGGTGGCTACATAGTATTTATGCCTATAAACCTGAGCATAAATTAAATGACCCACATCATCATAAGTTAAAGACATTAATTTGCCATCTCTGGGTGAATAAATTTGGGAAACTTCATAGGGCCTTTGTTGATTATTATAGAAAAATTGGGTAACATTACCAAAGTTATCTTTACGTGTGGCCAAACGTTTCAAATGATCATAGTAGTAGCGCACATCAAAACGTCCTCTCTTGGTGGCTCGAACTAACAAACCTTGTGTATTATAGTAGAACCTCTCTTCTCTAGCATTTTGAGCCACCAGACCTCGGGTATCATATTTATATTGACCCTCACCAAACTTGACGATACGATCTTGGTTGTTGTATTCCATGGGTATGGTGTTTCCACGATAAGTTAACGACAATAAATTGCCATTGTCATCATAACGGAAGCCCCAAGGTTCTTGAGCCTCTACCCCTATCAGTTGACCATCACAATCCCAGGTATAATTCTTTACATTTGTATAGGTATTGACAGCCATATTTCTAGTGTAGGTTCTAGTCTGGGTTATGCGTCCGTGAACACCAAATGAATATTCCATGCGGAAGACTTCCAAACGATGTATGGCCAAGGTGACCTTCTGGGTCATGAAACGGCCATCGACAGTGCGTGTAAAACTGGCAGTGCCATCATAAACTTGAGTTTGATTCAACAAAGGATGCATGAGTTTGAACTGGCCAATCATGCTGGGTTGCCCAGTGCGCATATCATAAGCAAAGTTTTGTGCCGGTAAATTCTGGCCTCCAATGCGCCCTTGTATAGATATAACACGAAAATCGGTGTCATACTCATAGGTAAATTTGGCATTACTCAAACCGGTCTTGGCTATAAAATCAATGCGTTCTTCGCTCAATAAACCTCCGGTATATTCAAAGTCCCATCGATATTCCAATTCTCGTTCAGTGTGCGACACTGTAGAAGGCATGGCAGTAGCTTCATTATAAATAAATTCACTTTTACCATCACCATGGACAATTTCCGTCAACTGACCAGCAGCATTATAACGATACACAATACGAGCACCATCACCAGGGAATATAGTCTGTAGTAAAGCACCCGAATGACTATAATGTTGTAGATAAGGTTTAGTGCTACCAGGGGGAGTATAAGTATTTCTGATGAAACCGATGGAAGTCTGCATACTGAAGGAATGTTTGGTGCCGGAAGGTAATGTAACATGTCTCAAGCCTCCTGATTCATCATATTGCAAAACAAATTTGCGTTGCGAAGCCAAACCAATTTCGGATACCAAATTCCAGTCATTGTAAACAAACGAAATAATACCATCTTGTTGTGAGGTGATTTCCGAGAGTAAACCATGCCTGTCATAGGAATATTTCAATTCAGCAGGACCCCAAGCCCAACCCTCAATACGATTGAAGCGATCATAGGTCATATTAACAGGATAACCATTAGTGGGGTAGTACGACTTAGGCAAACCCGACTGATCGTAGGCCACTATCAAAATAGGAGTGCGGTTCATATCATAGAAAGTTTCTCGATTAGTAAACTGATCAAATTCTACACCAATAACTCTCGATTGATTAACCCATATTTCTCTATTCAAAGTTTGTTGAGGATTGCGTACATCTCCCACCAAGTTATAGACAGAGTACATATTGTTGGTTAAACCTTCACCCATGGTAACACTTTGATGAGACCACATTGCCAACATTTCAGCTTCTACAGGCAGAGCGGCTTCTAGTAAAGGATGACGAGCCACTGCTGAGGATTCCACTATTACGCCATTTGAACTATGAATGACCAAGGTATTGTTGGGTTTTATTTCAGCATCAGCATTCTCTTGACCCTTCTTCATGAAAGTAGATCTCACACCACCCAACACCAACAATTCATTGGTATCTCCCTTCTCTCGTGAGAACAAAGACTCCACCGAGGCATGAACATAAACAGTCAAGCCTTTGTTATCAGCCAATTGTGAGGTGATTCTAACAATTTCACCACTTGGCAAAATCATACCAGTAACACGACCAAACTCATCATATTGATAGATATAGGTTTCACCACCCGATGATCTAGAGTTCAATAGACCAGTATTGCTGTCATAGTCTAATTCAATTTCTTGTCTGCCCTTTTCCGTTAATTTGGTCATTATACCAATACCATTGATTTGTATGTCCGACTTATGATCTTGTGTGTTTTCGATCGAGCTTACAACATTGCTGTAGTCTCTTAGGAATTGTATTTTATTGCCGGAAGCATCTGTTACTGTTGATAAGCGACCAAATGAGGTATTTTTGGAATATAGAAAACTATAGCGTGTCTTGCCAGAGGCTAAATCTTTGGTAGCCACATGTTGTCCATAACGATTGAAGACATAAACTTCACTGGTTGGTGGATAGGGTATATGGAATTCACCATTTTCATCATGCGAGGGTAGATAGTGTTCCAAAGCCAAGACATGTAAGGAACCTGTAAAGAGAGAAATGTTTTAGTGAATGCTTTTATGGAAAATTTTGTAAATTATAAAAAATAGTTCCATTATAGGTGCTGCAAGGATTTTGATTTTATGACCAATTTGTACCACTTGAAAACTGTTATACTAATGGTTAGAAAACTTTTATATTATTTTCAAACTGTTGTAAAATTTAAAGCGAATAGTAATTTAATCATTTCACATTGTTTATAATGTAAATTTTACCCGGTTTGCTATAATATTTGACCTATTTATGGGTGCCCTTTGACACATTTATGCTTGACTTTAAATTATCAATCAACCACAAACATTAATACAAAGATACGATTATTCGCACACACACACATACACAGCAAATCCTTTTTCATGTCAGTGATTTGTATGAATGAAAGATAAGACATGAAAAATACTCTGAATACATTGAATGTATTTGTAGCATTGTCTTAGTGATTAATGTTTTTGTCATTGTATAAGCCTTGAAAATAGTGGTCTTTTGTTTCAAAGTGTGCATGTGTAAGAAGGTTTGATTTGGAAAATACCGAATAGAAAGAGGTGGAAGTACAAGAATTAAAAGTTGAAGGTTTGATTAAAACGCTAAAGTGAGTTTTTTTTTTGTAATTACACTGGTTTAACAAGAGTTGATTTCGGATATTTCAGAGTTTATAATAATTTATTCTGCAATATTCGAAGTTATCTTTGAAATATGGAGTTAGTTTTCGTTCGGGGTCTTGTGCAACACATACAGTTTTATTTTCTCTTCAAAATATATATATTTAGTTTTAATTTCGAAATTATAAAATTTTTTAAATACTTATGTTTGAATAAGAATTTTTGGAAAATTCTTATATAAAAATTTTACATCTATATAAGAATTCAAAGAGGAACTTTTGTTCTGAATCCAAATAGCTTTTCTTTAGTAAAATGGCATGAGTATTTTAGATTTTATGCAACTCTAACTTACAGCCTATTACATATCGACACCGAAAACTCTGCTATGAAAAGCATATATTGTTGAGGCTTTAGAAAAACTCCAATAACATTTGTAATTATGAACCGATTTCAATAAATAATATCTTGAATTATTCATCATAAATTGATCTTTAAAGAAACTACAACTTTATGCAGAAAATTAATAAATATTCTACATATCAACAGTTTGAACTAAAAAGTTTTAAAATTTAAAAGTTTTCTTCAAACTTTTTCTTTTAAATTCCATTTAAATAATCTAAATCTGTTGTTATTCCTTCTCCGACCTAAAAAAAATCAACATTTTGAAATCTTTATGAAAACTATGTTGTGCAATCTTAATTAAACTAACAGTTCCTCGCTATCTAAATTAACCATAAACCATATAATTTATATGATATTTTTTATTTCTTTTCAAAACAAAAAAATAACTGTTTCACCATTTTAAACGGTTTTTTTTTTCTCTTGAAGAAATAACAAAAAAATATATATTAAAAGCAATAACAAAAATCTAGACCAACTAACAATTTTCCCCTTGTTTACTATTATTATTTTGTTTTTTATTCATATTTAAAAAAAAAATATTTTCTGTTGCCATTTTTGCTGCTGTTTGCCGATTTGTTAGCAACACTATTGTTGTTGTTGCTGCTGTTGTTGTACTTGTGGTTGCTATTGTTTATTATACTAGTAATTTTTTCTCCATTCTTACCATAATTTATGTTGACTGTTTGTTATTATTATCTTTTTTTTTTCATTTTTGTTGCTATTGCAACAATAACTAAAAAAATAACAAGAAACATTACAAAAAAAAAATTGTTGTTAAAAATTGTGTTCTTTTTACTAGCAATTGTTCTAGGTTCTATTCATTGTTGTGTTTTTTTAGATTTCTATAATATTTTTCCTTTTTTCATACCAGTTAATTTTTTTGTTTTCTTAACGGGTGGTAGTGGTATTAGTAATGTGTACTAGTGCCTGTATAGTTGTTATTGCTTTTTCCAGCAGTCCAAAGGATTCTGCATGTTGTTTTAGGGTAAAAGAGCCACAGCAACATTGTTCGTACATTGACTCTTGATGATACTTAATGTTTTTAATGGCGGATTTCCGGTATTGTAATTGTGCCACTAAAATTTAAGTTGTTAAGTTATGAATAATATTTAAACAATGCCAGGAATAAATATTTAAAAGGACTATTGAGTAAAGTAATAATAAGCCAATAAATATGGTTTACTTTTAATTTTATTATTAATAACAACAAATACTTTTACTATTGTTTTGTATTAAACAGTTAGCTGATTAAAAATAACTTTGTTTAACATATTAACCTTAATTGTATTAAATATGCTTAAACATGTGCTCTTACCCTATTTATTTTCTTTAATTACTCTTCCTTCCATCACTTCAAAAATATTTGCTCATTTTATTTTATATCTGAGTAAACTAATCTCTGTGGTAGGAGCTCTTAACAAACAACTGCCATTTCCTCTTCCACCCCTACACACAACATGTACATTGTACCACTAAATGACAAACTCTTGTCGTTATCATCATTAAAACCAAGTTCTTGGCTGCTCATCAATTTCATTGAATTAATGATGTGTACCATGAGCTTGGTGTTTCTTGGTAATAATCGCTTTTCACTTCATTTATTTTCGATACAAATTTAAAAAAAGGATACACTCACAAACAGCAACAACAATATTATATATATCTATAGAACAATAACACAATATCATACTTATACTTATACAACTTTTAGTTAGTGGTCATAATAATACTATAGCATAGTTTGAGGGGTTATAATGGTCAGTTTAGTAAATGAAAATTATACAAAAAAAAAAAATAAGAGTAAAACAAAAACCTGCAAAAAAACTAAAGGGTCAGTTTTAGTATATCTATAAGATGTGTTGATAATGTTATAAGGTCATTTAACGAGATATTTAATGTAATTAAAAAAAAGAATATACTAAGCAAAATTAAGAAGAAGAAGGGAATAAATTATAAATGAGTGGTAATTCGATATAGAGACGAGTAGTATACAAAATGTATAAGAACTAATTAATTTAAAATTGAAGTTTAAAACATTGGGTTTAAACAAATATTTAAAATTGAATCTCTACTTAAAAAAATTATGATTTAATTGAAAAAAAAGAGTTTCTGTTCAATTCAGTTACAACTCACAGATTTTACTATCGAATTATTTAACAATTTTAGATAGAAACTAAATAGATTTTCAAGTAAATGAAATCTATTATATAAGATTGCAACACTAGCACTCGACTACAGCAGCAATATTTTAAAAATACATATTTTTCTGTCTGTAAGTCTATCACAAACTTCATATAAAATTAAAATTTTACTTTGCCTTAAATTTCCATTCAAAATCTTATTTTTTTCTTCAAGGCATTCATTTCTTCTTAAAAAAACTATGTATTTAATTAATATTTTCTTCAAAATTTCATAAAATATTTATTAAGGGCTTCTTAAAAACTCAAAAGAAAAAACTTTAAATTAATTTCTATTTAAAAATTAATATCTACCCTTTTAAACAAACATAAAAAAAACAAAACTTCAAGGCCTTCAACAAAAATTAGCTCATTTTAATCCTTTAAAATCCCACTTTTTTCGCTTCTTTTTTTTTGCAAGCAACAATGAAACTAACATTTAAAAACAAATTGTTATTACTTATTAAGCAAAACTGTAATAACGTTTTGTATATCCAGCCTCTTAAATGCAGGAAATATAGAGAAAAAAGAATAACGAAAAACTAAACCGAAAAGCAAACTTTTCAACAACTTTATGCAAAACGATTTTCGGGCTTAAGCCAACTACTACTTGTCTTTTCATTTCTTTTGCTCATTTCTTTAAGCATTTAAGATTTCAGCAAGAAACCAGCCATACACTTAAGTATGACGGTTTAATAAGTTAAACACAACGACGAGAAGTGAATGATTTCCATCAGCTAGAATAAAATCTTCTTTCGTTAGTGGGTATTCTTTTTAAAAAGAAAAAGAACGAATGAAAAAAGCTCAGTATTTGCTATTCATACAGATTTTGGCCACCACCAAAATAAAAGATAAGTAGCTACTTAACAAACCTTAGGCAAAAATCTGGTAACCAACTACCAACCACGTAATCTATATAAAGCAAAAGTATAAAAAACATTACAGATATTTTCGCCCATTTGAAGTTAAAGCTTTAAGCCTACTTAAAATAAAGACTTCTTCTTTGTGTATATGAAACGGTTGTATTGCTGCTGCTGTTCTCCTCCATTTAACGAAAAGAAAAACGATTAGGAAACCAAACAACTATTTAAAGGAAATGTATTTTCGTTCTCTTTTCCAAAGTTAACCACACAACAAAAAAATAAAGACGAAAAAAATTTTAAAATATTAAAGGGATATCTTTATTGAGAGAAGCATATAAAAGGAAATGAAAAAAGTTAATTTTTATTAGAAATCAAGTAAAATATATATTGTAGAAAACTCAAAGGTAAAAATATTAACAAAAAATCTTTCGGTATTTTCTTGCTTGTAATTAAAATATGTATTAATTTTTTATAGTTTTATTTGTTTTTTTTTTCAAACATTAATGGAGTAATTAAAACACACATATTTTTAAATTTTGGTTAAATAAAAATATTGGGGTTTTTATTGTCATTTTCCAAACAAAATAAACAACTGTTCGCTGGGTCTAAAGAATGTTAACTGAAAAATAAAAGAAAAAAACAAAATATTTAAAAGAAATTAGGAAATACATATTAATAGCAGCAAATAAATTTTATGTTTCTGTAAGAAATTTTATATTTTTAATTTTTGTTCAAAACCAATTATTAGATTTTCAAAGTCGTTAACAGATAAGCAAAAATTAAAACACGAATAAGCGCAGGTGATTTCGAAAGAATGCATCTGTAAAATTAAGTAACATAATATGCTTCTATTTATCATTGATAGATAGATAGATAGATAGATAGATAGATAGATAGATAGATAGATAGATAGATAGATAGATAGATAGATAGATAGATAGATAGATAGATAGATAGATAGATAGATAGATAGATAGATAGATAGATTAGATAGATGAGATAGATAGATAGATAGATAGATAGATAGCTATAGATAGATAGATAGATCGATAGCTCGCTCGCTCGCTCTCTCGCTCGCTCGCTCGCTCGCTCGCTCGCTCGCTCGCTCGCTCGCTCGCTGCTCGCTCTCGCTCGCTCGCTCGCTCGCTCGCTCGCTCGCTCGCTCGCTCGCTCGCTCGCTCGCTCCTCGCTCGCTCGCTCGCTCGCTCGCTCGCTCGCTCGCTCGCTCGCTCGCTCGCTCGCTGCTCGCTCGCTCGCTCGCTCGCTCGCTCGCTCGCTCCGCTCGCTCGCTCGCTCGCTCGCTCGCTCGCTCGCTCT